TACCTGATTTTATGCTAGTAAGATGATTCTTGGTAGGGTGCCTATATAGCTTCAGGATGGAGACTGGTTGCCACAAGAACTAACCACATGATTGGAGTGTTGGTACTTTCAGCCCCACTCGGACCTCAAAAAGGGGAGAAGGGTGAGAGACCAATGGCCAATAACTTAATCAATCATGCCCAGGTAATGAAACTTTGAAACTCGAACAATGAGGTTACAGAGCTTCTGGGTTAGTGAACATGTTCACGTGCAGGGAATGTGGTACACAAAGAGAGGAAACGGAAGCTCTATACATACCCTGTCCTATGTATCTCTTCCATTTGGCTGTTTCTGAGTTGTATCCTTTATAATAAACTAGTATTTGTTAAGTATAATGTTTTCTTGAGTTCTTCTGTGGGTCCTTCTAGCAAACACTAAACCTGAATGAAGGGGTGTGTGTGTGTGTAAACTGTATAAAAAAATAATTATAAAACTGTTGATAGACTTATAATTGTAAAAATATAATTTATATGAAAATAACACTACAAAAGAGGGAGTAGGAAATAAAGCTATACAGGAGCAAAGTCTTGTATACTACTGATATTAAGTTGGTATTAATATGAACTAGGTATTATAAATTAAGATATTATTAATTCTAAAGGCAGCCACTAAGAAAATAGCTCAAAAAATACATAGTAAAAAAAACAACAGGGATTTAATATAGTACAATAGAAAATATTTAATATAAAAGGTGGTAATAATTGGGGACTAGAGGAACAGTCATTAAGACATACTGAAAACAAATGAGCAAAATGGTACATGTAAAGTCCACCTTGTAAATGTAAATGGATTAAACACTCTAATTAAAAAGTAGAAGTAGGCAGAATATATAAAAATCTGTTATCTAACTATATACTGTTTATAAGAACAACATTTTGGATTGAAAGATACAAACAGGTTTAAAGTAAAAGGATGATATATTACAAAGTCAAACAGAACTTTTTATTTTCCCTCTCCTAGAATCTTCATTTTAGTAAAAGGCACCACTATCTATCAGCTGTGAAGTCAAAAAGTTAGATAAGATCCTTGATTCTACCACAATTTAATCCTTACACCTATTCTCTGAGTAAATATTATCAGCTGAATTTTTTTGAAACCATTATCACTTGCCTAGATGACCTCAACAGCCCCCTAATTAACTCCCTGCTTTTATTTTTGTCCCATATAGTCCATTCTCCATTAGGCAGTGCAGGGTGCTTTAAAAATAAATAAATAAACATAAACATACATACATGCTGTTTCTCTCTGGCTCTAAAATTTCTAAAGCCTTCTCACAGTTTTTCACTCCATACAGAATCAAATTCAATTTCTTTTCTTTTTTCTTCAAGGGTCTATCTATTATGGTCTTTGCCTACCTATATATCTGCTACTCCTCACGAACAATATTGGACCAAAGAGGACACTGAGGTAAGACTGTCAAAGTGTTTAGAAAAAATCTGTAATTTAGAATTTAATATCCAGCCATATTAATATTCTAGAGTGCCAAAAAGATATTTTCTGACATACAGGTACTCAGAACGTTCATGACCCAAAAAGCCTCTCTAAAACACCTACTCAAGATGTTCAACAAACCTCCCCTGCCCCAAATCCCTACTTCCTCAAAAGAAGGAGCCAGAAGTGTGATATAAAAAGATGATCTAATAAACCAATAAAACATATTATTAGGTCTGAATAAATAGACAGTAAAAAATAACCTTTTAAGTAACTGACAAAATTTCTGATGATATTGACAAGAGTACAGGATAAGGAAATAAAAGCTTACTAAGATTTGTCGTAAGTGGAAGAAAAAAAATACTAAATTTTTTTTGTAGAAAAATGTGTTATTTAAACTGTAAGAGTAATCAGTAGAATAGGTTTAGAATATATAACTTTAGGAAAAAAAACAGAGTAAGAAAACCGTGATCAACAGCGATAGAAAGAAAAGAGAGCAGGAGGAATCAAACAAAAAGCAAAGTAAGTAGAAAACAACTGTAAATGACTAGTTAAAACTCCTTTAACTGCTTGAAAAAGTTATCTCACACCAAATAGAAAAAAATTTCAAAACAAAAGCTAGTAATATTATTTACAGTAGATAAATCAAAATATGACACAGAAAGAACAAAATAAAGCTTTAAAATCTAAGAAGCGTAAACTAATATAATTTCAAAACAACACAAATCTATACTCAGAGAAGTACTGAACTTTAAAAATGAATAAATCAGGTAAAAAAAATAAAGTGGAACATTTGTGTAATATAATTATAGTAAGCCTGCTCTAACATATATCTCCACACCTAAAGACAGAGTAGATTCTTTTCAAATAGATGTAGAACATGTACAAAATCAAATATAAAATGAAAGTCCAAAAGAGGTCTCAAAAAATTTTAAAACAAAGTCATAGACCATATTTAGACCATGGCAATATAACCAGAACTCCACATAAAAAGGCTTAACAATTCCAAATCCATAAAAGTTAAATGAGAACTCCTTTATAACTTTAAATAAATGAAAATGATAAAATGAAAATGATAAAATCCTAACCTGAAAAAAAAGCATGTATCAACACATGTGAGATGTAGCCAAGAGATAACCAGAAAAAAGTTATACCCTAAAATGTATTTATTAAAAATTAAGATAAGCTCTACACAGCAAAGAAAATCATCAACAAAATGAAAAGGCAATCTGCCAAATGGGAAAGAATATCTGCAAATCATATATTTAATAAGAGGTTACTATCCAAAATATATAATGAATTCATATAACCCAATACCCCCAAAATTAAAAATCTGATTAAAAAATGAGTAGGAGATCTGAATGGACATTGTTCCAAAGAAGACAGAGATGACCAACAGGTACATGAAAAGATGCTGAATATCACTAGTTATCAGAGAAATGCCCACAATGATATATCACCTCACACCTGTTAGAATGGCTATTATCTAAAGGACAAGAAACAACAAGTATTAGCAAAGATATGGAGAAAAGGGAAACCTTATACACTGTTGGGGGACATGTAAATTAGTACAACTACTATGGAAAACAATTTGGAGGTTCCTAAAAAATTAAAAATATGACCTAGGACTTTCACTTCTGGGCATTTTTCCAAAAAAAAAAACCAAAAACATTTAACTTGCAAAATTATATGCACTCCCATCTTTATTGCAACATTATTTATAACAGCCAAGATATGGAAACAACCTAAGTGTCTACTGATAGGTGAATGGATAAAAAAACTGAGATATATATTTACATATGGAATATTTTCAACTATAAGAATGACATCCTGCCATTTATGACAATATAGATGAACCTTGAGGCCATTATGCTATGTGAAATAAGCAGAGAACAGATTAATGGTTGCCAGAGGTGGGGGGTTGGAGGGTTGGTGATATGAGTTGAAAGGTATAAACATCCAGTTAAAAAATTTTGTAAATATGTATGGTGATAGATATTAACTAGACTTATTATGGTGGTCATTTTGCAACAAACACAAATAACAAATCATGAAACTAATATAATGCTGTATCTCAATTATAACTCTTTTAAAAAAGGGAAAAAGCTAAAAATTCAAGAACTTATAAAAGTGGCAAACTCTGGCAAATATAATGGGAGAAGAAAGAAAATACTGGTCCAAGGAGTATAAAACTACTTGAAAAGTCAACATGATTCCGAAAAACCAGTTAAAGATGTAAAAAAGAAAAAAAATGAAATCTTAGACCCATCTCAAATGGTACAAAAAATCCTAAATATAAGAATTTCTAGCTGAATTTAGCAATGTATTAAAATACCAACTAAGAGTTATGACAGAAATGCAAATTAAAATACCAACTAAGAGTTATGACAGAAATGCAAGAATCATTCAACATCAGACAGCCTATCAACATGATACTCCTGTATGGGATTTAAAAGATGAATTTTATGCCATTTCTCTCCTAAACTCTAACTGTAATAGAAATGGAATAAAAGGAGTTCAATTCCACAAGGACAAAGAGAGGAATAAGGGAGGAGACACCAGCAACTAGAGATTTCAATAAATATTCAAAAGATGAAAGATAGTAAAAGGACTAATTTAGCAGCCTATTATAGGAACCACAAGGGAAAAGGTGAGTAAAGAGAAAAAAGTGAAAAGAGCTGAGTATTCCAAAAAAAAAAAAAGAGAAAAAGAAAAGGAAAGGAAAAAAATCCCAAAGACTCTTAGAACTAGAAAATGTCAAGTATAAAAGATATCACATAAAAGAGAATTACCCCCGCTCTACATCCTACTCAATGTCCCTGCACCCCCGACCCCATACACACCTTGAGCACATAACACCGGCAGCCAAGTTTCTGCCATGGAAATTTGGGATTTATTCTCTAGAGAAGCTAATGGAAGAGGCCCGGAATTTGAAGATAAAGGTGTAGAAAAAGGTGTATGGCTGAAAACAGAGATAAACCTAATGCTTCACCAAGAATGCTTCAAATTATATACAGCTACCCCTAAGATAGATAATTCGATATTTAGTTTCTGAATAGTCCTGGAAAATAGAAACCCATCTATATTTGGGGATCTGTTAACTAAAGAGCCCACTTTCTTGCCCAATCATTCTAAAATAATTTGCCATCAAGCGCTATCCACGAAAAAGAATTTGTAATCAGCTTTTTAATGCCCTATTCTTAACATAAACAACAGAATAAATTCCTTATAATTTAATTTCTGCTATTAAGGTAACTAAATCCAATTTAACCATTACCCTATTAAAAAACTATATAGCCACCCAGCTACAAAGATCATAATGCACATCTATGGATAGTTTTAAGCAAGTTTTCCTAATTATCCTCTGTGTTACTACTGTATTTCCAAATATTAGTTTCCCTTACAGATTAAGTTAATAGAGAATGAGGAGGATCTTAAGACAATTCCCAAAGAGGCTGTCCCATAATCCAGACATGAACACAAAAACTAGAGCGAATTAGCAAAATATAAACTTCAGTACAAAATCTTACATGTTTATCTTTCCTTTCTATAACATCTTGCTTTTGTTTACATTTTTGTGACGTCTCCTTAATATCTGTTGCCTGTAAGATTAAAACAGAAGGGGGGGAAGTTAGTTAAAAACTCAAGCAAACCAATTATGTGTCCCCACCCATCCAAATATTAAGTTGTTATGTAAGTTAACTCACAAAGTTTTTCCATGATTTCTTTCAAATCGAATACATAATTATCACCAAAAATACCAAGTTATTTGCAAATCTATAAAAGGTTATTCCTACTGATTCTAAAAATAACTGCAGCAATATGCATGTGTATGTTTATCTCTTCACATTTATTTTCTCATGTTCTTCCATTTAATCTTCAAAACAATCCTACAGGATAGCAAGGTCCATAACTTAAACCACTCAAAATAATCAATGACTCCAAAATCTCCCTAAAAGTTGAAAGCCATGATAAATAAAATTAAAATTTTAGTTATATTTTCAAATTACAGGTAATATTGCATATGCCATTTTACTAGTTATTCTAAGAAACATCAAGTTTCCTCTGTCGCCCTCCTCCAAAAAAGCATATAAATTACAAAACCAATATAATAAATTCACAAAAGGAGTTCAATGTTTCTAGGAATACTACTCTGAATCCTCCTGTAATTAAAATAATCACATTTCATTTTTCTCTTTTAATATCCTGAAATTTCTATATAGTAGTAACCTTCCAAGAGTGATAATTAGGATCTTGAACTGTGGTGGTAGAATTTCTAGTTAGGGAATCAAAGTTACAAGTAAACTGACAAAATATTTTAAAAGACTTGCAAAATATTTTTGTATTTGCTAAAATAAAATACAGGAAATCCAAAATTGACTAGAAAAGTACCTTCACTTTGATTTGAGACTCTAAATTGTGACGCTGCGTTTCAATTTCTTCAATTCGACGGGTCATAGGAATCTGCCCTTCTTTAAGTTTTCTCACTTCATCCTTCACTCGGTCACGAGCCAGTTTTACTTCTTCATATTCCTGACGAACATTTTCATATTCCTTGCAATTAATTAAAAAATAAAAATTAGAGCACTACTAGCTTAAACTAACACATATACTAAAATCAAGGTTCAGGAAGAAATTAAATCTATGAAAAGACTGTTTTGATATTCATTTGGCAGGTCGACTAATACAGACCTCTGAAACAACTTCAGAAATAATCAATACCAACATAATGACTTACTAAGAGTCTTGATACTCACTGAGAATTTATCTCCATAGCTAGGCAAGACTCCAATTTCCATCCCTTCGTTTCTGAAAAGTGCCTACTAAAATGAGGTTCTCTCGTCTCTCAATAAAGAAGGGACACAGGAACATAAAGATGCAAGAGTAATTCAGTTATGAAAAGTAAAAATGAAAAAAGTAGAAGATGAAAGGAAAACGGGTCAAAAAGAGAAAACAAAAGGAAACATGCAGGTGAAAATGATGCTTGTCATGTCACAGGAATATTTGCTAAAAAAATTAGTGGAGTACTAAGAGAGTATGCAGTAAGAGTAAATGGAATGAAGAAAAAAAACACAAATATTAGAGTAAATTTAAAAAGAAAAAGAAAACAACTGATAATCTTAGAAAAAGGGAAACCAAAGACTTCATAAAACTTCGTAAGACTTCCTAAGAGATAAAGTGGGTGCAATAATAATAATGGCCATAGGAAAAAATATAATCCAAATGAGGTAAAGAAAGGAAAAAGTTTAAGAATAGTGGAATTATGGGATAGGGTAGGGTGGAGCAGGGGCAAGGGTTGGGGAGGCCACAAATAGCCATATATTTTTCCATTCTAGTAATAATTATTCCTACCCTAAACTTGGAACAAACATTATAAAACTTTCTTACTCTGTTTCACTCACTGTAAAGGCATTGAGGGAATTTAATCTTTAGCCCAAACTGTGGTCTTAAATAATAAAATATATATCATACAGTGATTAGAAAGAAAACAGTAGGCTCAATAAAATTATGAAGCACACAAGATTATAATTAATAATCAACTACATGTGTTGCTGAATTTAATATTAGTGTTAGTTCTCAGTGACCTAAGGAGACTAAAAGATTTAATATTTACATGTATAATCATTTTTAAATCATTAACATTTTATAAAATAAACTATCTGTTGAGGACTCAAATCTGGAAAAATTAAGAGCATGGACTTAATCAAATGATATTTAATAAACAATAATAATAACACAGATAAATTTTATTATATATAATATATAAAGCAAAAATTAACAAAAGTACCTAATTTGATACAGAGTAATTAGTGCCTTCATTAAAACTTTTCTGCTACTTAAAGAATCACTATTTTTGCCTATAATAATTAAGACTTACCACCCATGGCCTTTTTGCTTCAAGCATCTCAATCAAATCTAAATGTCGCTTACGTTCATAGAACCTCTCCACATCTTGTTTATATCTTTCATTCCTCTGAATCATTTTCTCTAGATACTCAGTTTTCTCTTTGCATGAGGTCTAAAATAAGTATGTGTTTAAACAATTAGTTTAACTGAAAAAAGAAAACAGGTCAAATCTTTTAATAAAAAATGTACAATGTCAGTGAAATTTCACAATAAACAATTCATGAAAGTTCTTAAGAACTGTGTAAAATGAACATGCATACCTAAGTTCTAGTCTAATCTCTATAATTTATTAGTAATGTGACTGTGAGAAAGCCTTGCCACATCTCTGAGCCTGGACTCTTCCTGCCTTAAAAGAAGACAGCAATCTGCCCCATTCACCTCAAGGACAGATTTTACTTGCTGTAGGTAAAGGCTCGACAAAAGCTGTAATGTGATATATGAATAACAGGTAAAATTATTATTAATATGTTATGAACACCATGACGTAAGGACTTAGAAATGAGATGAAGGAGAACTAAAATTTAGTCTTTATACTGCAAATTAACAAAAGCAGAGATGTACTCAGAACTAAGAAAGAACATGTTTTCTTTCAGAGGACTGCAGGTAGTTTCAGTTTCAGTGAGTGTTTCAGATGAGAGTATTAGATTGCCTGAAGTGGGGAAAAGTGAAGGGACTGACAGAGTATCTGAAGTAGGATAAAATAATTACAACTCCTTTGGTCATTAACTCTGAATAAGTATAATAATAAAAATAATATTAAATTACAGCAAAACATATTATCAAGTATAGACATTACAGTTTGAGAGCATTTGTTTACAAGGTTCCTTATTACAAAAATTTACCAAATTATTTTAGTTGACAGAACATAGAAAATGATTCCTTAAATAAAACACCTTTCAGTGATATTTTAAAGATATTTTAATTTATATTTTTATTAAATAAAATTTCAACACTGCTACTTAATGTACAGTTTTCTTACAAAGTCGACCCTGACGCAACTGAACAAAGATGAGAACTGGTTCAACGTAGACCTCTATTAAAAGCTATATGATATTTGCTGTATTACCCAAGGCATTACACAGTGCCTGGCATGAAGTAGGTATTTAATAAATATTGAATAAATAAAAAAAATAATACCAAAGCATACAGAGAAAAAAAAAATACTCCTTAATATCATTATTAGTTCCTTAGAAATTCAATTAATAACATGTATTTGATGAAATGGTAGTCAAATTTTTCAAACTTTACATTATCAAATCCATTCTCACTTTTTGTCACCTAATTTAATTAATGTTAGCAATACAATCCTTGGTGGAAAAAAAACTGCAAATATATGAATTCACTCAATGAATCAGAATTTACTCTCTCACATTTTGAGACACCAAAATCAATGAGAAACAATAAAAATAAGCTGTCCACTTATAAATACCTCTAGTTGTTTCTCTTTCTCCCTGAAGTTTTTGAGTTCACAGTGGTATCTGTGCATTTCTGGAGGACCAATTGACTTCTCAGTAGCTTCAAGGAGTTCAATTTTACTGAGTTTAGCAAATTCCCCAACTTTATCCTAGAGTACAAAACTTAAATATCAGTAACTATTATCATTTATAAGTATCTTCAAAACATATTTCAATTATCACGCTTGTCAAGATGAAAGTCAGTTAAAAGAAAAAACTTTTTTTGAGATGTGGTCTTAATATAAACAAACCCTCTTTCATATATTATCCTTTATAACAAAAAAATAAACCTAAAAGCAACAAATGAACAGGGCAGAGACACATGGACAATGGACTAGTGGTTACCAGAGGGAAGAGGGGAGGGGGGAATTTAAATCATTTCTTCATTTTAAAATAAGTAAGAAAAAAATTTAAGGTATGAACGGTTATCTTTTTGAGAACCTTTAAAATATCTGTCAATATTCCCAAGTTGAAATATTTATATACATATAATACATTTATATGCATATACATAATATTTATATGTATATAACATTTATACATATAATAAATAATTTGTCTTAGTCTCCTAAGTCAAAATGATCATTATCTACCACACATCAATGAGAATGCTAGAAGTTAAAAAGAGGCAATTTTAAACATCTACTGCTGAAAACTATCTGACATCAGCTGACAAATGCTTTTAAATTTTAATTTTTATTTAATTTAAACATATGTAATCAAATCATTTCTGAAGAAAAAAATTAACTATAATTCAATTACTAGGCAACATTCAAAGACAAATTTAAAGGTATTTAACTTTAACATTTAACATGTATCATCAGGATGTTTTATTTTTATTAGACAAACTTAAAATATGAAAAGATTTTAGAAGGCACACCTAAAGATTTAAGAGTTTTAGTATATCAAAGATTTTATACAAAAACACTGATTAAGATGTTGCTTATTCAAACAAACTCATAGACACAGACAACAGTATGGTGGTTACAAGAGGGGGAGAGGGTGAGAGAAGGTTGAAGAGGGTAAAGAGGGTCAAATACATGGTAACAGAAGGGGACTAAACTTTGGGTGGTGAACACACATTGGAATATACAGGTGATGCATAATAGAATTGGACACTTGAAACTTATATAAATCTTACTAACCAAGATCACCCCAATAGATTTAATTTAAAAACTTGTTTATTAAAACTTTAAGAGCCTGCAACAAATGGAAGCACACAGGAATTCAAGCTACTCTCTGGACTTAAAAATTATACAACTTTATTTCCTGTACAATACTCTATAACTTAGGACATTTTATTAATTCAAAATTTCCAAATTACTACAAATTAATAATTTTATAACGATAAGAGATAAGATGTTACCTTTTATAAAGAACCTTGAGTATTAAGACTGCTATGCTCGGTTTTAACAGTAACCATTATAATATTCCTCATAAAGTATTTACATTCTTTATAAAGCATAAAGAAGAAACATTATACACAAAACCTTCCATCTTTATATTTAATTGTCTCATACCTGAGGTAGAAACTGGCAAAGATTGCTCACTTGAATATTTAAGGCAGCAACCTGCTCTTCTACTACTTTCTGGGTTGTTGATTTTTTGTTGATGAACCAAAAGGACTGATTTTTTGCCACATCAATTTCACGGGTAATTACAAGATTTCCAGAAGTCCTGAACCTAGTTAAAAAATAATTTTAAAATCTTAATATTCAAAATGTATTGTAAAAAATTATTTTAGAAATAAAATTCATAAAATTCTCTTGCACCAAAGGTTGCCAGAGAGAATTATGTTTTTTCCTTTTGATATTATGACCCCTCCTCCAAAGAGGAAAACTTTGAATTTTATTATTAATAATACACGACTGACCACATGTAAGTTACTACACTCTTTCAACAATCAAAATTATTTAATCTGTTAAAATAAAATCAAAACAAATGCCAATACCAATTCCCAAACACTGCCAGAGGATGTGCATATCTGGAGTTATTTATCTTATAATCATTATGCTATTCTCCAATTTCATGTATTGACTGCAATTCAAGATGGGTTGGTACATAAAAGCACGTAACAGTTAAACCTTGAAACTCACTGTACTTGGAAAATATATGAATGAAACCAACTCTTGCATATACATTTCCAGACATCAAAACTAGCCTGCCTATTCAAGTAGCCTATGGCTTCTTCTTATCACGTAATCTACTCTGAATTCAGAGGGGACTACATCACAGAGCTATATAGGAATATTAATCAGTAAAGTATCTAAATGAAGGGTATTTACTTATTTCTTGCTTTTAGAAGTACTACTGCTCCACACCTCCCATCTATTCATCCATCTTCTTCACTTGGAATCAGCAGCATGTGGTAGAAAGATAAATTATTGGTATCCAATGGCTAAAGGACAATGATAATTTATAAATGTATATACAGATTATACTGTAATTAAATGCTAAGATTTTAGAACTTAAAAAAGTTTTAAACTTTCATTTCCAGCAGAATGACTAATAAAGTACCCTTTTTGATTTTCATACTATAAACCAAAATTAATAGATAAAACACTAAAATATCTTCATAAATCCATTATTAGTTAGCATGAAAGCAAGGAATTCTGTCTAAATTCCCAGAGCAGATGGGAAGCCAAGAGTGAAAAAAATGAAATAGGCTTTTATCCTGAAGGCCAACCAGGTAATCTTGCACATTCATTTTCATTATCTCCTGGGAGAAGGGCGTTGCAGACACAGGCCAGAGCTACCAAGATGGAGTGTCTAATAGAAACCAACCCAAAAAGGCTATATTCTCACGTAAGGGAGGACTAGAAATATTCCTCTAACACCATTTCTCCCTCTTCCTTCTCCTCTACCACCTCTACTATCACCACCACTGTCACTACCACCGACAGCAAGGTAAATTATTTTCTCAAACAATAGCTTGAACTGTAAAAAATCTCCCAAGAGTAACTAACAAGTCTGTCTCAATCAGACTTATATCTTCATGTTATATGACATACCTAAGAAGGTTCAAAAACCCTCAAACTGAGAATTGTCTATTGTGATTCTGGATTGAAAGTATCCAATATTCTGTGACAGAAGTGAATAAAAATTCCTGCAAGAATCTACCTTAATCCTCAAAGAATGAACACAGATAAAGTTCAAAGAGAAAGGCGCAGCTCATTGGCAACACACACATACGCACACGCGCACCAGCAAGAGTAAGGACTAGCAGAAATAACAAAGTAGAATCATAGTGAAATCAGTAAAGTCAAGAATAAAATATATTTATTATTTTTTAAGAAAAGACTGAAAATATAAGTAAATAACAAGAACTAAAGAGAAATAAATCTAGAATGCCGCACAGACACATAAAAAGATAAGAAATATGAAAGATGTTAAGAGACATGGATAACTGAGTAAAAAAAACTAATATCTGTCTGAATTCTAGAAGGGAAACAGAGAATGGGTCAGTAGCAATACTTGAAGAGATAATAGATAGATAAGAATTTTCCAAATCAGATTTAAGAAGCTCATAAAATCTCTAGCAAAATAAAAAATAAACCCTCACCTATATACATGATGTGAAACTATAAAACACCAAAAATAGAGATATTTCAAAAGCCTCTTGAGAGAAACAGAATTACTACCAAAGAAACTATGATTAGGTTCACAGCAGGAGACAATGGAATTATACTTTGCATGTGCTGAGAAAAGACCTGTAGAATTTTATACCTATCAAATATATCTTTTAAGATTTAGAGTAAAATCACATTTTCAGATAAAAACTAAGTGTTCCTCTAGAAGACCCTCATTAAAGGAAACTTTAAAGAATGTCCTCTAGAAGGAATCCTAGAGAGAAGAATGGAAATGTGAGAAAGAATGAAAGCAAAGCAAAGAGAAAATATGTGGGAGTAATTTTAAACAAATACTGACAATATAAATAATAGATATATCTTGATGGGCTTAAAAAAACAAGGTAGAATTAAAATAGCATACAAATTCAGAGAAGCTATTAAAATAAAAGTACACTAAGGTCTTTATTTAGTAGGAAGATAAAGATATTTAAGTCTAGACTGTAAATAAAGTATTTACGTTAAGGTACTTATGGTCAAGATGGCGGAGTATATAAATGCTGTGCTCGCCTCCACCCATGACCAAATCAAAATTACAACTAAATTACAGAATCATCACTGAGAACTACCTGAAGACTAAGCTGAAAAGACATCCTATAACTAAGAATATAAAGAAAAAGCCAAGTCGAGACTGGTAGGAAGGACAGAGACACAAAACGGGCAGGTCCCAAATCCTTGGTATGGCAATTTAGAATTGGGAGGTACATTTTGGCTGTGAAGGTCTCCCCTGAGGAGTGAAGGGTTCCAGCACCAGACCCAGCTCCCCAGCTTGGGGCACCAGTGCCTGGAAGAGGAGTCCTTATAACATCTGGTTTTGAAAACCAGCAAGGATTGCATCTGAGTGAGAAAGTGGGATACTGGAATCCCAGGCATTCCCACTGAGGAGCCTGAGCATGGACTCACTTACTCTGGGCTCCAGTTTGGTGGTGACCACTGGAAGAGCTTCAGGAACATATGTGAAGAAACTGAATTGACTGGCTTCAGGGTGAAGGCCAGAAAGGCAAGGGTTGGGGAAGCTCTCTCCAGGGACATAAGTGCTGCAAGGTACCACTACTCCTTTGTTGAGCCCTCCACCCACCCAGCTGGCAAGTGAAAGAGAATACCAAATCTGTGCTCTCCATTAACCTAACACCTCTGATCTCACCCTGGTGATTCCCTGACACCCCATTACACTCAATTCATGTACCCAGCCCCAGCTACTTCCAGCAGATTTTCCACTCAAGTGGCCTCCTCAACTTCCACAACAGACTTTTGTAAGATCTCTCGAAGGTCCACAAACCCCAAACAAGTAGCAGGTGGTATCAGCGTGATCTGTTCCTCCTGCTAAGCAGCTCCAAGTCCAGGACAAGTGGCAACCGGTCTCAACTTGCATTAGGCAACCACAGACTTGCTATAAGCTGTGGCCAATGTTGGCCTGGAATGTAGCTTCAACTAAGCTGCCACACACCTGGTACATGAATGGCTGGCCTTAGTTCACATTGTGGTGCCCATCAGAGGGTCTCAAGCTCAACATGAGTGGCAGCCAGTCTTGGTGTTCAGCATAGCCTCTCTCAAGCATCTCTAAGCATAGCACAAACAGCAACCAAACTGCAGATTACTGTGTAGAACCCACTAGGCAGTCCCAAGATGGGCATGAATGGCAGCTGACTTTCACTTACACCAAAGGCCCTACCAAGAGCCTCCAGAACCAACACAACCAGTGGACAGCTTCATACCACACCTGAGCACCACTCAATCAGCTCCACAAATGACACCAGAGCCCCGCCAAAACACTGCTTACTCTGTGAGGCCAGCCCCTGTACAAAGCTTGTCTGCTATACTCATGGCCAACCCTGATAGCCAGTCAGCCCGAGGATCAATCCCAACTACTGGCATGCCAACAGCAATCAAGGCTCAACTACAACAGGAGAGCAAACACAACCCACACAAGGGATGCTCCTGGAGCACCTGACTCAGGTGAACAGAGAAACTGTACCACCAAGCCTCACCTACTACACAAGGCCAACCAGACTGGGAGATGGAACAGATCTACCTAATACATAAAGACAAACACAGCGTATCAGCCAAAATGAGGAGACAGAAACCTGTCCCAAGTGAAAGAACAAGACAAAACTCCAGAAAAAGAACTAAATGAAATGGAAACAAGCAAACTACCAGATACGAGTTCAAAACACTAGTTATAAAGATGTTCAATGAACTTAGGTGAAGAATAGATGAATTCAGTGAGGATTTAGACAAAGAGGGAGAGACCACAAAAAAGAACCAGTTAGAAAAGAACACATTAGATGAAATTAACAGGAGACTAGATGAAGCAGAGGATCAAATCAGCGATTTAGAAGACAAGGTAGTAAAAACAACCAATCAAAACAGAAAAAGGAAAAGAATATATGTTGATTCTGAGACAACATCAAGCTTCATTCTCATCATAGGGTACCAGAAAGAGAAGACAGAGCACAAGGGATTGAAAACCTATTTGAAGAAATAATGACTGAAAACTTCACTAACCTGGCAAAGGAAATAGATATATAAAACCAGGAAGTGCAGAGTGCTTAACAAGATGAACCCAGAGAGGCTCACACAGGTACACATCAGAGTTAAAATGCCTAAAGTTAAAGACAAAGAGAGAATCTTAAAAGAGAAAAGCCATAAGTTACACATGAGGGAGTGACTGTCATTTGATTTTTCAACAGAAACTTTGCAAGACAGAGGGAGTGCCGTGAAATATTCAATGGGATGAATAGCAAGGACCTATAACCAGGATTGCTCTACCCAGTAAAGCTATCATTTAGAATCAAAGGTGAGGTAGTTTCCTAGGCAAGAAAAAGCCAAAGGAGTTCATTACCACTAAACCAGTATTACAAGAAATGTTAAAAGGATTTATTTAGGTAGAAAAGATAAAAAATATGAATAAAAAATTTTCAAAAATTCTCACTGACAAAAGCAAACAGTAAAAGCAATGGACCAACCAACTATAAAGTTATTACAAGGTTAGAAGGCAAAAGTAGGAAGATCACGTGTACTAACAACAATAAATTAACAAATACAGGAAAAACAAAA